CATACGATTTATAATATACACTCATGTCCATAAATTAGGATAATTCGGAGTCACGCGGAAATCGAATTCTAAAATAAATATATCACCTATAAAATCACTACACACATCTTCAAGAATCATATGCAAATTTCAGGAAGTAACCAGATGACACCGATGGTACGTCACAATGACGAGAGTGTAAGAGAGTGATATATAAGGAATACAGGCAAAGAAGTAAAATTGTTCGCAGGCGCTTTATAAGCATTTCAGTGCAATAACCGAATAGTTATGACACAAAGGACGCATTTGGATGATTTTTTACGTGGTAGAATTATCGGCCGTCTGGAATGTGGGCGTACCCAACTGGAAGTATCAGACGAACTTGGAATTGCCCAGAGTGTCATCTCCAGGCTTTGGCAACGATTCCAAGATGATGGTAATGTGAGTAGACGTTACAGCACAGGTCGCCCCAGAGTTACAACGCCGAATGAGGACCGGTATTTGGCAGTTACTGCCAAAAGAAACAGGCGGAGCACAGCCTCAGACCTGTCTCGTCAGCTCTCTTCAGCCACTGGTACGACAATTTCAAGGCAGACCGTGTACAGACGCTTAGGGCAGATTGGTCTATATGCTCGTAGACCTGTCAGATGCGTTCCACTTACTGCAACTCACTGTCGCCTGCGGTTAGCCTGGAGTAGAGAGCATGCATTGTGGACACCGCAACAGTGGGCTTGTGTGATGTTTTCCGACGAGTCCAGGTTTAGCTTGCAGTCTGATTCTCGCCGGATTTTCATATGGAGAGCTCCAGGTACCCGTTACCACCAAGAAAACATCATTGAACGACACCGTTACGGTGGTGCAGGAGTGCTCGTTTGGGGTGGAATTATTCTGGGTTCCAGAACTGACCTGCATGTTCAAATTGGAACCATGACAAGCCAAATCTATCGGGACGTCATTCTGGAACAACATGTACGTTTGTTTCGGGGCGCCATGGGCGCACAATTTGTGTTTATGGATGACAACGCCCGTCCTCACCGTGCAAACATCGTAAGCGAATGCCTTCAATCGGAGGATATCACCCGTATGGACTGGCCAGCATTCTCACCGACTTGAATCCAGTAGAGCACGTGTGGGACATGCTTGGCCGACGAGTTGCAGCCCGTCAACCTCCTCCTACATGTCTACCGGAACTTCGGAGAGCATTGCTTTTTGAGTGGTGTAATATCCCCCAAGATCAGATCGATAATTTGATACTCAGCATGCCTAGGCGTTGTACGGACTGTATTGCATCGTCTGGGAGACATACAATGTATTAACAATCATACCAACCATGTAATATTGGTTTTTTGTAAATAGGTTTTTTTTTTGTAATTTGCTCCAGGGAGAAAAAATCGCTAATTTTTTAATAATATCAAACATATAGCATCTTTTTTTGCTCTTTACCTTTTGTTTAATAAATAAGCTTTACAAATAAGTCAAATTTGTTTTGCTTCTAACTTTCCTTGCCTGATTTGCATTATCCTTAATTGGACATATGTATCTTTTAAGTTTTACAGCGTATTGAAATTATAGCAGATACTGATAATGTTATACATGATTTAGATTGCCATTGCCTTCTTCACTCATGCTTTTATACTACTTCGTAATATTTCATAATGGCATACAGGTAAGTTTAACTTATTCATTAAACATGTAAATCTCTAATTCAGCCCACTTTTGTTCTTACGTGTGCTGTATCTTCTATTTTCTTTAATATATTGTTCAGCCTAATTTCAAAAGGTCTTATGATCAAGCGAAAAAGTCACTAAACATTGGTAGTTCGACCCGAGTTTCTAGTCCCAGTGATCCCCTAGCTCTTCTTTTTTTTTTTTTTTTTTGTACTTATTTACTGTGTAAAAAATGTATAGTAAAAATTTCAGTTCATGAAGTAAAAATACTTTTAAAATTTATTCTTTAAAAATATTGCAAAATTTTTCACCTTAGCGTATCTTTTTACAAATCCCTCTGATAAGAAAAAGTAAGGAAAGAAATTAACTTGGTTTCGGTGATTGATACCTCAGTGCAAATTATGTGTAACTTTTTCCAAAAGCATAGAGTTTATATGGATATCAATAAATTATGGATTATTTCTCATCTAATTTTCTTAACATTTTTATTCCAGAATTTTCCTTTCACACTGTAGTGTTTAACTTTATGCGTTTTCTATAATAATTTACATTTGTTTATAATTTTACGCGAATGAAAGTGATTATTTAATTGTATAAGCTTTGCTGAAAGATAAACGAGAAAACAAAATTCTATCACTTGCGGTCAAGAGAGTGTTTGATGTAATAATTCTTATATATTTTCTTTGATAGTTTTTATTTAATTTCTTTCATTTATGCATTACTACATAGTTCTTTTCAAAAAATATTTTTCTGTGCCGCTATGTCCGTATTTCAGTTTCAAGGAATGCGTGCTCCGTGTAGGGTATATAATGCTTAATAAACTTATGATATGAAAGAGATCTAAATTCTCTTCTCATTTCTACTGTATTTTTTAAATTTCAACCCCTAAGAAATTTACTCTAGAAATCGTTTTCATGATTTAATATTTTATACTTATTTATTTATTTTATTCATACTTTAGCATTTCTTTAAGTTTATTCTTTATCATGCTAACCTGTTTTTAAATATTTTTCTCAATACTTTTGTAATTTAAAATTATTACATTTATTATGATATTTCACATTAATTTGTTTGAATACAATGGATTGCAATAATTAACTTACAATTTTTGGGTAACATGAAACACGTCTTAGGAATTCTAATCGTGAAATCATTCCATACCTGCGCTTGTTAAGTAAATCCTCGATTCTTTCCTTCCTGTTTGCGTAATTCCTGTTTGTTATTTTTTTATGCTGCTTCACACCATTTATTGCAGCGTATATATCTATCTGAATTTGACGAATTACATCTGTGAAGACAAATATATTAGGATGGGAATGATAAAAATTCGCTCTGAATTTTGAATGAAATGCTTCACATGCATTAGTTGTTCTTTCCGATGAAATATCAGCGCAAGCCCAAAGTATCGGGGGAAATTTTGCATCCTCATCTAGGTAGTTCTCGGTTATGTAATCAGTAAAGCGTGTGATGTTTGCATCCCGTGGTTGCTCTGACATCAGATCTTCAACGAAGCTATCCGAAACTTCAGTAGCATCCAAAAAGGGTAATCCAAATACCAGTCGAAGCCATCTGCCAATTTCTGAATTACCATTCCTATATTGTTGCTGCAATCCGCACTGTTGAAGTTTTCGCCACCAAGCTTGAGTCAAGTGGAATCTACATCCTGTAATAGAACATTCAGGCCACATTTTTCTCACAGCTTCATGGATTGCATATTCAAAATCTGCCACCACAATTTCTGGCTGAAAATTCAAATGCAAGTTAGAACAGAGTTCTTTCAGTTTTTGAAACATAGTTTCGTATATTGCCGTAGACTTTCCTGGTAGCAAAAAAAAAAAAATACAAGTGGGATATAATGTCCATTTTCCACTGTATGAAACGTAAACATCTGAAAGAAAAATTTTGGGCAAAATGTGAAAGTGCCATCAACAAAAAACTTTTTTTTGTCACATAAGATCCTTAAATTTGAATCTGTTGAAAAACAAACTATATTATTTCTATCGTCATTAATCTGAAGAAGATTTTCATGTCGATAAGATATCACTTGCATTACATTTAATGCAGAATGCACATCAGAAATACATTTTGGAAGTGGAGGTAGGACTTTCCTTCTCTGTCGGTACGCATATTCTCCGAATACAGTGAACATCATGGCTGCTAACAATATCTGAATGATGAGCTGCAACACTAGTCAGTTCTTTCCTGATTAATTTCTGAGGTTTTTCAGATGTATCTTCCGCTGCCTTTCTGTTTAACACCGTTTGAAACAACTTGTCTAGAAATAGTCTTGCAACGCTCATGATTGTGACACAGATAAGATTTTGATAACACGTTATTTGTCTTATCAAGATAAAGTGTTGCTTTGCATTTTTTACTTGTACAACGCCATTTTTGGTACTCTGCTTTTCCACAGTCCTTATAAAATTTATGTCCTGAAAAAAGAACGAGAATTTTTCCTCTCTGACTGCGAATAAACTCCCATCATAGGTAAATATGCTTAAATAAACGCCAATTTTAATTCAAGGTTGAATTTAATAACAGAAGCAAATATATTTTTTACTAAGATGTTTTTTTCACCAAGATAGTCAAAGAATCGTTCGGAACTGATTGAAAATTTAGCTATTTAAGGAATATACACTGACTTCCGGTTGTAGGGGTGAAAAAGGTCAGAGCCAATAGTTGTGCTCATGAAGAATGCCTTGTAGCCCCACATGTTGTTACAAAGATGAATTTATTGCCTGCAAGAGTATTACGAAACCTTCTGCAAGTCCTCTGAAAATTTCTTTTGTGTTACAGAGCAATTAACAAAAGTAAATCTAAAGCGATGTATAAAAGAAATTAAACAAACAAAAAAGAAACGATTTTTCACAGACAATTCAGTGTTTCTCATCAATTAATTCAGTTCTTACTTCACGACAAGGCAAAAATACATAAAAATTCAAAATATCTGTATTAAAATTACGAAGTAAAAATCTTAAACACTTATTTCTGGAATAAATTCCAGAAAGGATTAAGCATGACTTAATTCGCAATAATAATAAAGAAGGCGTTATCTTGTTGTTGCCGAAGCTTAGTTTCTCTAGATTGGCAACAAATCCACTATTCATTTATAAAAAAATATATTTCTTATTTTTATTTTCCTCTTGGCTACAGTTGGCTTCGAAAAATAAAATTGTAACCCTGTACGCAACGGGGGAAAGAAATTTTGATCGGCGCAGTTAGACTATAGCAGGACGAGGGGGGCATTTTCATCAGCGCAGTTGGAGTACATGTGTTATTATTTGTTTATTACACTTTCTTATTCTCATTAAATAAATATAATTTACATGCCGTACAGCTTGTGTTGTGCATTTTTCCAATACTAACCGTAGTCTTTGTGCACTGGACTGCAATATATAAAGCATTTGTAATGAAATCCAGAAAATGTTCCTTTTGATGTCATTTCAAAACAGAAGATGTATTTTATTTCCCAGTTCTCTATGAAAGCATGCAGAACCTATTTATCGGGCCCTGTTTGACAGTCTCATTCTGAGCATATGCCACAGAAATTTAAAAAAATATTCACTATGTTCCATCGATTTAATTTAATGTCTGCTGGACTTGTTTTTGGCTGTGCTAAGCAGCATATCCGGAACAACAAAATGTTATTCAGACCATGAACCTTTGAAAAAAGAAACTGTCACTGCAATTTTTTATATTCCCTGTATAGCATGGCTTTATACTGACTGCAGTTAGAGATATAGTACAAAGACCTAGAATATTCGTGACATTGGCAGTTTCAGATTTGGAATTTTGCTGCATATTAGTTTAAATCCAGTAAGTTGTTAATTATAAAAATTAAAAGTATGAAATGGTGATTTATGAAATAACAAAGTATGTATGACAAAAACGAAAAGCTCAATATTTATTTGCTTTATTAAGCATTTATTTCAATGTAACTTGTTTAATTTTTTGTGCTAACACTTTCTTTTTAATTCTATAGATAGAAATTCTTGTTCAGTAGCAACGTTGTCTGGGATTTACAAAAACAAATGAGGAGGAAGCAGTGAAATTACTACAGTATAAAGGGATTCCTCAAAGCTGAAAATTTTGTAAAAATAATCCTGAAATGATGTGTTTTACTAATTACGATACACCAAAATAAAGTTTCAATCTTAGATCTTGCCCAGAAAAAAGTCTCAGATCTCGCACTTGGTTTGAAGGATCGCATCTAAATTTCGGACCACCAGCGGCCGAGCGGTAAAAGTCGCTGAACACTGGTAATTCGGTCTGACGTTTGAATCCCGCGAACGGGCTGGCTGCATGGGCGTTTTCATGGTTTGCCCCGTGTGTAACGCGTATACAAGCCAGTTTCTCTTAGAAAGTTCTCCATGAAGGCATCCCTCCCCTTAGGCAGGTAGCCCTCGAGGCTTTTCCATAATCACACACGCATCTAAATTTCCTTAGAGCTGTAAAATTTATGTACCATTGGTACCATGGACTGACCTCGGTTGAGTTTTGTAATATGCAATACAGTTGTTGATTGGAACAATTATATGCGGGAAATTTTTTAACCATTTTATATCTAGGTATGTCTCGTGCTTTGTTTTTGAAGTCTGTTAATAAATATTTTATCAAATCCTAGTTGATTTCTCATTTAAACTACAATAGTGCACAATCCTAAATGTTGGAAATTATATCTTACAAATTTTAATTTTTATGAAAATTGTTAAAAAATATATAGAAGCATTTATCATGCCAGTAAATTGGAGTTAATCGCAATCGCGTGGACATTGAACAGGTTAAAAAGAATTCTTAAACGACCTAAGATTTACAATAGAGAAGCATTTACTGCAAAAGAAAAAATATTTCTAGTGTGTCAGCTAAGTAATTTGACAATTGTAGCGTTTAAATATTAATTACATTGGCAAAATGACAATTTTATGTGCTACCTCTCTTGCAAGAAATATATCTCATTTTAAAAGTATGAAAATATTTTAAGACTTGTTTTTAGCATTTTCCCCTTCTTATTATACAGCAAGGATTATATACACCATAAGTTTGGCATATTTTTTCTATTTTAGGTTATGTGCTAACACTTTCTCTTTAATTGAAACAAGAAATAACTATCTTGAAATTTAAAGTTTGAAAATTATGGTAATTTTTTTAATATTAATTAAATGACACTATTAAGCGTCAAGCTGATATAATTACAGAACAATTTTCAAATTTTAATTAAAATCAGATTTTTTAATGCATAATGAAAGCAATCTTTCAATGAAAATTTTATAAACAAAATGGTATAAATCAAAACTATTTACCATTAATTTAAATCAAAAAATGTTCTCGGATTAGAAAGAAAAACCTTTCAAATTTTATTTAAACAAATTAAATTTCTAAATATGAAATGATGTAATATAGTCTAATTAATAATATATATATTATTAATTAGCATTTAAAAGATTAGCAAGTGCATTATAATTACAGATGGTTGAGTAATGATTATGTTTGGTATCCTGAGTTGTCAAAGATCTGATAGTAAGAGATGTAATTTTGTTTATGCAGAAAAGAAGAACGAGGATCATTTAGTAGTATCTTAACCATTGCTTAACCATTGTACTGTTCTATGCCTGTCTTGCTCACTGCACTGGCAATTCAGGATTATAATGTGTTATGGTTGAGCATAAAATATTAAAATTTAATATAGTCAATAAACAAACATTTGTTTTCATACATGATCAAAGCATTTTGAAAAAGCTGTGTTAGATCAGTATACTTTCTTAAAATTAAGGCGTGCATTTTTGCAGTCATTACATTAAATAAAAATATTAAATAATTTCACTTTTTCATTCTAGAAGAATGAAAATCCATGCTTTCTTTTATAACCCTTGGTTCTTTCTGAGGGTATATTTAAGACCTTTTAGCAAAGTTGGTCTTTGTAAAAAGCATAAAGGATTTAGTTATTATAGTCATATAATTCGGGAATAATAAATTTCCAAATATTGAAATTATTTATTAATCCTAAATATTCATTTTTAATATTTAGGCATTGAGTGGGCTTTCTACTAAAAATACAGAACTTGCCACCATTGTTCAGATATAATTTCATTTTTTAAGAGATTTTTGAAGAATGAACCAAAAAAAATTGAGTACCACATATATTTTTGTTTTCATGCACTGTATTCATATAATAAATCTGTATTTATTTTGAAAAGTTTAGAATGAGAATTAAAGGGGTGCAGGTTGGTGGCATTTAAATTTCTCTTCACTTTGTGGCATTTGTGTATATAGCAGAGCTTAAATTGCTCCGGTACTTCTCAGTTTGCGAGATAAATTATAATTTCAGCTGGAGCCCTAAATAAAAGGGCTCAGGCACATTTTTAGGCAAGTGAACGACAATTTTAACACAGAAATTTTGTTTTAATAGTAAATATGTCTTAAAAATCTGATTCTAATTTCTGAATGCAAGCCTTTTTTTCCATCGCGCTCAAGCCTTCTACAGAGGTTGAGAATTTTGAGGAAAGAAAAGCCACCCAATTATATGTCAAAGGCTTATTCTCCAGGATATGCAATGAATTTATGAGAGCGGGTAAATATTGTATTCCTCAAAGAACTAAAAGTGACACCCTGGTCGTTCACGTTCCATGATAGTGACTTCCTTCTGCAGAGCTGTAGACTTTCTGAATGATGTAACCAAACGGGGGACCACTGCTGCCACTTGTACCGAGAAGTCTTATATTTATTCTCAGTTGTATTCAGGAAAAAAAATCGGGGAAAATTTCTGCTTGATGGCTAGAATTATATCGACAGGGCATCGCGATCAGGTAGTCTTGAACTCTTCCCTCTTTATCTTCAAAGTTACACTTTTCAGTTAGACTTCTTTCCATACCTTCATACTGTTTCTAGAATTCTCACTATTCTCTTTAGTGGAGCTATTATCGTTTTATCTTTTTTCCTTGGTTTGCTGCAAAAAAAGACTGATACTTGTCATCCCTTGGAATAGTACATTTTATGTATAATTAGGGCTTAAACTCGGACGGACATTGGCTGAGCTGCTTCTTAGCATCTAAGTATAATTGTAATTCCCGACGATGCCTCAAATAAGACGAGGACCGATACTTTTTTTTTCTATTTAACTATTCAAAATTAATTTAATAATTTATTAAATTTCTCTTTATATTTACATTTTTCTTAATTTAATTAAATTAGTTAATTTAATCAAATTAATTAATATTAATTTTATTATTATTTATTTTTCTTTTTTCTTTTCTTCCTCCGGCACTTCTAATTTTAGAAATTAAGCCCTGGTATATAGCATGGAACAATAAGTCCTCAAGAGTTAATGGGAACGGAAGAGGGGTAGATGATCTTTGGATCTATCTCCTGGTCATTGTTTCAAAATGAGATAGAGTTGGGCAAATTCATATCGTCACCTATAATGTGTCCAAGGTTTAAACTAATGACAGACATAACCAAGTGCACTCTTGGCCAATGATTTCGAAGACGTTTTTGATGTTACTATCAGAGGAGTCTGTGATTATATTTAGAATTTAACTAAATCAAAAGTTACTGTGTGTTATTAATTGCTTCAACATTCAATTAATTTATTATTAAATAATCAATTAGTTAAGTGATTTTTCCTTCTATCGTGTCTGAATTATTTTAATCATTTCAATATACATATAGAAACTATAAATTTATTCATTATTCCATAATGTAATGGATGAATTAATATGCTTAACAATTGCAATCTAATGTGCTTTCAGCTGTTGCAAAAAAATGCCTTCAAACCTTCTTAACTAGGGCAATTAAAATAATACTGATATCTTAAGTGAAATTCATTGTACGAAATATGAGGTACTGGAATATAATGAAAAGTGATAAAACATATTGCCCATTAGGTGGAACAATTCTATGTTCAGATACATGTTTATGAGACTGCCTTTATCGTCACCATTTTGACGGTATTTACTAACAGTGAACTCTGTGAATGTATAGCAGAAAAAAAATATATTATTAAATTAAACATCTTGTATACTTATTATTATTTTTTTAATTCTGACATGCAAAGCAGCTAAACATTCTTTATTTCTGAAACTAGCCCACAAAAAGAAAAACACCGGAAGAAATTTAGTCTTGCATGTTGACACACATAATCTTTCTTAAAAATAAACTTTACTCTTTGCCGATTTGCATTGTTTTAATCCAATACACGTGGGAAACAGCTTTAAAATGTATTTTGCAATTCTCCCATATATCTTCACTATTAAGATCACATTTGATCTCAAAGTCGAAATCCTCTTTTCTTCCGAACTTGGAAGACACTACTTCGTAGGAATATCCATCAAATAAAATTTTATAAAATTCATTTTCCACTTCATTTGACATACTCGCAGTCATCACAAATTTGAAACATCAATCGACAGCTTTACTTCCTTTTGCGCATTCGGCCCACCAGCGGCCGAGCGGTAAAGTCGCTGAACACTGGTAGTTCGGTCCGAGGTTCGAATCCCGCGAACGGGCTGGCTGCATGGGCGTTTTCGTGGTTTTCCCCATGTGTAACGTGTATACGAGCCAGTTTCCCTTAGAAAGTCCTCCACGAAGGCATCCCTCCTCTTAGGCAGATAGCCCTCGAGGCTTTGCCATAATCACACACACACACACACCTTTTGCGCATTCACTTGGTGTCACAATTTCGCCAAGACCTGATAAATCGCCAAATTTAGTCGCGGGTTGCGTTTTCTAGGGAAGAAGTAAAAATACGCACCCCGGAATCGAATGTACGAGTAACAAACATACCTAAATGTTTCAAACAGTTCTTATTTACTGAATAATCCATAGCAGAAAAATGAAAGGAGCAGTTTCGTTTTATGATGTTATTCTAATTTAAATATCAAATCTTGAATCAAAGGTTTGAGATTCGCAAAAATCTGATCATGTAAATTACAAAATGCATATGTACTACTGCTACAAATCTCCATAATAATAATTATAATAACATAAGATTATAAGATAAGATAAATTATAAGATTTTGATAATAATTATAAGATTATATAATGTGTGTGTGTGATTATGGCAAATCCTCGAGGGCTATCTGCCTACGGGGAGGGATGCCTTCGTGGGGGACTTTCTACGGGAAACTGGCTCGTATACACGTTACATATGGGGAAAACCACGAAAACGCCGAGCAGCCAGCCCGTTCGCGGGATTCGAACCTCGGACCGAACTACCAGTGTTCAGCGACTTTACCGCTCGGCCGCTGGTGGGCCTAAGATTATATAATAATTATAAGATTATTATATAATATTATAAGATAATTATCAGATTTTGAAAGATTTTGAAAAGCGACATAAAGTGCATTTTTTGAGTTTTATATTTTTAACTTCGAAGTGATCACAATAAAGTAAATACCAAATATTTTTAACATGCACGACAGAGCTACGAAATTTATAGGATAAATTAAAAAGACGTAAAAACAATGTTTTGGCCCGAAAACTGAAAAAGATTGTCTTTTGTAATAATTTTTGTAGAAAATTAAGTGCTCTACGGCTTTAATTTTCTTCCGTCTAAATGTCTCTTCAGTTTTATTTTATTTATTTTTTGTCTATTCTTAATTCGTTCTCCTATATTAATAAAAACTATTTATTGATCAGCAATAAGTAAAAGAATAATAATAAATATTCTTAGGACATGTACATATCCTTCGAGAACCTTCCAGAAAAGCTGCAAGCTGTTATGATTGTATAAACAATATATAACTCTCAGGCATATGTCAACACTCCAAGTTCAGAAGATAATACTCTTTCTCTTTTAGCTTTTACTTTTATTTCGGTTAATGAAAATCTGTACTTAAGGTTCAAAAGATGATGATATCATGATAATACTGAAAAACATGTTCGAGGTTTTTGGTCTTGTTTACACATAACATTCGTTAAATTCATTCTTTGCAACTTCTACTGTTTTATTTCGAATATATGCACTGCCACAAATACAATAAATAAATAAAACCTGAAAAAAGTCGTTTGTCAGTAAATTACTAAAATTTTATTCCTGTTTTAATTCAAAGATAATTCTATTTTAATTCAAAGATAATTCTGAGGTTTCAGAATAAATTATGTCATTTTATTATTAATAACTTTATTAAGTTAATTTGAAGATATATGAATAATTTGGATTCCCATTCCTTCTCCGTTCTATAGTATAAGAGGTTCTGTTGATCCAAGTTGAAACGAATGGAAGAAGGAAAGTCTGAAGATAATTTTCTGGTGAAAAGTAAGAGAAGTTAGAAGAAATGCATTCGTTAGTATAACAGACTACAAAATTAGCTTTTAACATTAGATTCACTATATATTCTTTTCGCTTTATGGTCACATGATCTTGATACAACAAACGCAATCATAAACGTGAACTAGAAAGGCAAGGCACTTATAAATTTTTCAGATCTCATTCGTCACTTAACGATTATATTTGTTTTATCACAGCATGGAAGAAGTGGAAGAGGAAAACAACAGCTGTTGTTTTCTCGAGAAGAAGGAAATTGTAAAATGCAGCCGTGTCCGGTGGCGTAATTAATAGACTCAGATTTATCTTTTAATTTATTCACACCATCAACGTAAACTATATATACTTTGTACAAATAGAAATATATAAAAAGGTAGGATTGTTAAATTTATAAAGTTACCACACTGAGTATACTGAGCAATCGGCCTCTCTCACCGAAAGCCAGTCTCCAACTTACCGTTTTTCCGCCTAGAGGGCGCTACCTATTTTCAGGGTTACAGTTTCGGAGGACCAGGCACTACAGAAATACTAATACTTTCTTTTCATGGTGATAGATAGAAGATAGAAGCTATAAAGATGCCTCAAAAATACGTAATTAAATTATTAGTAGTAATAAAAGAACAAACCTTATTTTCCTCAGAGTTTCCAAACATTTAACTTTCTTAAAACAATGATTTAACAAATTCATAGTTTTGGCGTTGTCACAAAGATCTCATTTAGAGGATTTAAATAATGTTACAGTTTTTAAATACAAATGTATTTAAATATTATTAAATATTTTAAATACATTATCAAATATTATTAGGATTCTAATTATAATTCCATGCTGTAATAAGAGGCAAAACAGCAAAAGAAACATTACCTCATATTTCGGATGATGTGCCAGAGTTCTTGTTTCAGTGGATCCATAGTGGAGCCTCATGCAAGCCATATTCTTGCTTTAAAATAATTAAAGAAATTCATATTTAAACACAATACTATAAAACATTCCTCTAAAATATTTCTTGTTGGAAGTAGGTAAGGTAAAAATGAGTACCGATGTCTACTGCGCAACAACACTAAATTTCAAAAAAGGCACTTAATTTTTATTCTTCAAATTTAAGTTTCGTTACTTGATTTTCAATTACCGTCCAAGCAGAGGCGAAGTTTGTTAGCTTCGAATTGACGCATTGTAAATTTTTAAAGATTTAATAAAGGGTACTTTAACCCTTCTTTTGTGTAATTTCCTGCTATTCCAGTTTTCAGACAGAAATTGATCTACTGGACCCTACAACCTAATAAACCTTTGTAAGTAGGAATATATTTTATAAAATTCAAGGGAAGAAAAGCCAATATGTTGATGGGATGTGAATTTCGCATAAAAACAATTTTTAAACCCGCTTCTTAAATTTCTTACTGATGTCATAGGTGCTTGAATATTTTCACTACCGTCAAAATCGGAAATAATGATAGCAAATTCCTTTTCTGTCATAAAATTTTCTGATTATTGACTTATTCTATATTTTTGTATAATATAGTATCAATACAGTTTTCTTAAAATACAAAATTACAGTTTTAGAAACAATTCTTATTAAGTATATGAAAATAAAAGGAAGGAGATAAAGAAGCAAAACAAAGGAGGGGGAATTATCTTCAAATTTTGTTTCAAGAAGAATTAGAAAATGGCATCTTAATTTGCAACAACCTACATTTAAGTAACAGTACTTCCCATAAAATACTTTTATGAAATTAAAAGGAAATGAAGCCAACTTGAATCCTAGGTGCTTCAAAATGATAAAACACTTAAATTCAATTCAAAGAAAATATATTCCAACTAAGATAATTGCGTTCACAAAACTTTTGATTATAGTTTCAAGAAGGTTTTAAAGAAATATTTTAAAATTTTAAAATTATAAAAGACCTAAGATTTAAAAAAACTGATTTATATGCAGTACTCAGTTTAACACTCAAAACAGTTTAAACTGAGAAGTTAGCTGTGCTACTAGTTTACAAATCAGTCCTCAAATATTAATGATGTGAAACATCTAATATTATAATTAAAATGAGTACATGGCTTATATATGCATAGAAAAGAAGAAACCTATACATATTTTATATAAGACAAATAGAGAAATAATACATACATTATGCAAGACAATTAAATGAAATAATTCATGAAATTCGGCACAAAATACAGAATCACCATCAGCTATAGCCAATATTCATAGGACATAAAATTTATAATAATATGAAACAATATATTCTAAAATACAGTAATGACTTATCTCAATATATGTTTTATAAAAAGAACAAATTAATGCAACTTCTTAAAATAATATTTTTTAAATAAAAGAAACTTCATGCTAACATCACTGTTTTCCAAAAGTTTAGCAACAAATATAAATATTGCTATTAATCGGCTGCAAGTATTTCGAAATTCTTAAAAATTGGATAGGTACAACAACAACTGGTACACTAAACTGGTGACAACTGGTGACGGTAATGAATATTATTAAATACTTTATACTTTCGTAAAGTAAGCTCAAATACGTTGCCTCGCACGCACCAACTCACTTGGACAGGATGGCGGACAAATATATATTAAGAGAAGAGTGCAAAAAGTTATTTTCTGCTACTTTATTCTCCTAGGAATCAAAACTTAACTACGAATGGTCAAAGATCGTACATCCATTTTAGCCATTAACAGACCACAGGCCACATGTGCTTTTGGAGTTAAGGTTAAGAAAAAATACATAAATAAAATGATAAAAAATAAATAAAAAATAGAAGCATAAATTATATAATGGGAGTACCTATTATTTCATCTGAATAAAGTTCATGGCGCACATTACTTATCATTATGAATAACTCATTTCATATAAAATGTTTTTAATACATTTCAAAAAATAAAAATCACTCACCTCATTTCTTCATGAGATTTAAAAATTTTACGCACTTGCATTCTTTCATATAGTGAAGATTCCTAAAATAAAATTCTAAGGTTAAAGCAGAGTAGGAAACCTATTTGATTTATATATAGCATCATAGAAATTTATTTAAATTATTTCTGCACTTTTCTTGCAAATCAAAAACAACAATATCATAACATTTCACACTGAAATATACAGTTTTATATCTATATTTACATAAATACACAAATTAGTAGACGGACCAAAATGTGCATCCGAAGGTGAAACCGTGGTAATTTCCGTTAAAGATGAAACACAAGAAGATATTAGCATTATGTAATTACTAGAGCAAAATCTATGAATTATGTAAAAATCATGTAAACAACATTCAAGTGTGTAAAACAAAAACCTAATTTCGAGCATATCTGCAAAGGGATGATTATCTTATGATAATATCAAATAACCATAAAGAAAAAAGAGAAAAACTTTAAATAAGTTTTGTTCAAAATATGAAACGAAAAAAATTCACCCATTTTTTTAACTATTCATTCCAAAAAAAATAAATAAATAAAAATTATTTTTATTTTTATTTTTTTTTTGAAATATATAAAAAATAGGACATAACAAAGTAGGAATTAATAAATATAAACAGGGTTATTAACATCAGGATTATTCATCTGCATGCGCATATATAAACTTTCGGACATATTAAATTTAAGATTTCTGTATCCAAAGTAACAGAAATGTGTCACTTAAGTCATTCTGCTTACTAAAAGTACCTTTGAAATAAAATCAACAGGTTGTCATATAGGTATACATACCGATATATATATATATATATATATATATATGATAATTTACACGCCTGAGTGCGCTCTCTCTCTCACACACACACACACACACTATATATATATATATATATCACATTAAATTTTTTAATGTAAATTATCACATTAAATTTTTGTTCTCAGCAGTTCGAATTCGAGGTCTCAATAAATGTTTGCGGAATATTAAAGGATATTGACATAAAAGAAATTGTTACTTGCTGAAAAAGTATTAAAACCATTTACAAAAATCACTCAACATAAATTATGATGCTTACTGATTAGTTAACTGGAAAATATTGAAATTAAAGTCAAATTTATAGACAGAAATTTTAAAATAATTATTAGTTCTTTACCATATCCCATAACCTGGAGTTAACTGAAACCTCGCAAGGACACAACTCCTATTTCCTTGCAATTATATTTCATCATAAGACACACATCAGTAAATGGTTACATACCAATTAATGTAAAGCTCTTGTTTCCTTACCTCTTTTATGGTTGGCACCCCTAAGATATTCTAGATCAATGTTATTCTCCTTGGCTAAATGTGACTACAACGTTTGCATAAAATGATCTATAGAAGACACTAATTTTACGCATACCTACGTTTCTTGCATCTGTGCTAATACACATTTTTAACTGTTTGGTGATTTTATATCGCACTATGCTATTTCATAGTATTTGTGTCTTACTCTGTACCTAAATCTTCTATAAACCCCGATATAACAATATCTTGCCAAGAAGTAGGTAGCTTCTTTTTGCAACCATGTCTGTAACTTCAGTCCTTCAACGGGTTATATGTTATTTTTTCATCTATTTTTTGGATTCTCCGAATAGTAAAAGGGAAGTTATACCATTTATTTAATATTATTATTTTGCAACTATTTGAAACTATATTGTAGGCGATATGTAGGAAGTTATCTGCTAAAATTGTTCAAGCATCTGATTTCTGATGTTATTGAATTCTGTATTCTTTGGATACATAAACTGGTATCAAACTGGTAACAGAGTTAAAGCGGATTTATCGCTGCATCTGAAGTTCATAGCACAGTCTTGAGAAGGTTTTAAAACACACCTTTTTATTAAATAAGAGCTTGAACATAAACGCACGACTTGTGCTTACAAATCAACCACTACTTGTGGTGACGTAATCTGATGTAAGAGTCAATTTGAAATTTAAAACCAAGTCTAGTAGTGAAAGGCTACACAACTGATTTAACTCGAAGTTGGTTCAAAATTTTTCACCGACATAACAATTTAAATGTTGGTAGTTATACTCAGAACCGAAATATTATAACTCATCAAAGCTAACGAAACCTAGTAACGTAGCTTCAAGAGGCAGAAACACTCCTCTCTCTCTGTCTTACAGTCCGAAAAACCTCAATCTAAATACTCCTAACCTGATTTGTATAATCATAAATCATAAAATATCTGGTTAAATTAACAAAACAGAACTTTATAATGATTTACATTTATTGTTTTTATGTTTATACCCATATGCATGCTTTCATTAACCAATATAAAACTTACGTTAATTACCTGCCTAAGTGGTTCGGCATCTGTAGCAACATATTCAAATTGAACTTTACTGGAACAAAATATGAAAAAGATTATTGCATTCGAAATATAATGAAATAGGCAGTTTCAATTAATATTTCATAGAATATCTTACATCAAGTACTTATTACTATAGATCAAATAGCTTATTTTACTCTATCTGAAATTGTTAAAATGCTTTATATTTTACAAAATTACTCAAGTAAAGTTGTTGCTATATTTTCGAAGCCATAAAGATATTTTGCTTTTATGGATAGCAATTTTCATTCTTTATGCAATTTAAAAACTTCAAGCATACATGAAATATATTAATAAACTTCAGTTGTTAATTTCAGCAAATTTAAGATACATAGCTCGACATGTTAAACACTCTCGAAGTATAATTTAGATATGTTTAACGCCAAGTATATTTTATTATCTTGTTATTAAGTTATATAAATGTAAAAAAGAATAATTTATTAAAATCTACAGTAACTTTCCGGTTGATAACTGTTTCTAATTAAATTACATTTAAGTTTAACATCTAAAATGTAACATTTTATCTTCTTTAAAAGCAGAAATTTGAGATCTTGATAACTGTCAACTTAATTCAATATCCGAATAAATGAGCCTATTCTGGAAGCGAAAAAACTGCAAGGCTATACATATATTCAAGTAAAAAATTAAGAGAATTTGAAAATTATATCTACTTTTACGAAAGTCATTTAACTAAGCTACTAATTATGCCACCGAAGAATTATGCAAATATTCAAAGTCGAAGTAACTTCTAGAAATGTACAAAATGATGTTGAACATAGAGTAAAAAAATACAGTTTCATTTCAAAAGTTTTATATTATCATTGACAACTACCCCTTCACCAGAATCCGTGAGATTTCTCGATGTGTGAGTCACAAAAAACCTACACGTGTTCTAACAAGACTTTATACTAGCAAAGACCGCTAGTAAAACTCAGATGTAGTTGGAGAATAACTTTTTGGACCATACTGACTCATGACATATAGCCTACTCATCTGACTGCAGTCTTGACTATTATATGTGGGGCGCGGTTAAAAGGAACACTATAAAAACTGACCATAACACTGAAAATAAGCATAAAGATCAGAATAGTCCAGTTATTTCAAGACGTGCGTCCTGAATTTATAAAATGCTTCTATTCTCTCTTCAGAGATCATCTAAAAGCAGTAATTGATGCTTCACCAAATACATTCCATCTACAAAGCATTACTGTGGGAGTCATCAACATCCAATGCTGAATTAGAATACCAGATGACGTACCCATCACAGCCCAGCGCAGTAAGAATCATCCCAGACAGCGCTGAGACCTGGTCGAGAGCGGAGGGCAGACGTGAGCAGACGGCTCACACGTCTTCAAGAGTTTATGAACTTAGATTGTGCTTTTGATGTTATGCCTTTAGGTGTAAAAGGACTACATCATTATGTTAAATCCTGCATACCGTTAACTTCATCTTATTTACTTTTCTTATTACTTTACTTCTTTCTATTAAACAAAACCATTTAAATATTACTTCGTGCTCTCATGCTGTGAATTAAGTCAAATTCTACAAAAAAATATGGCGCCCAACGTGGGGCCTCGAATTCCAAAAATGTGCGAGTAGTAGTAGAACTGTGCGTTTGAACTAACTGAGTGAACTGTTCTCACAAGTTATTCGATTTATTGGATTACTCGTATAAAGTGTGGAATACCCAATTAACGACGATCATCTGTCGGGTGAGTACAAAACTTTCTTTCCAATATGAAGTTAGTAGAAATTCCAGAATTGGAAGCAGCTTTAAAGAACCGTAAAAGTTCTGAAATCAAAAGTTTGCATAAGCTTATTTTTAATACTGATGGAGACCGAAATAACCGGAAAAGATTACGTGAATTTTCTGGCTTTATATTTAAACCAGATTCTGAAGAATTTAATAAAAAAATAGATGCAGTGCAGAATAGTTTTACTTTGAATGAGTTAATTAAAGTTTGCAATGTATTGTGCATAAATTCAGAAGGTTTAAAAACGGAAGTCGTAACCCGAATTGTCTCTTTCCTATGTGATTTATCTGTATTATTTGAAAATATTTTGCATGAAGAAACTAGTGATATTGCAGATAAAACTATTAATAAAATTTCTGAAGTAATGCTTGATGATAATCAAAGAGACAATCCTGATTTTAATGAGTCTCAAATAAACAACAGTATGCAGCTTCCAATTCAAGATCATTTTAAACCTCATCTTAGTTTTTCCCGATATTGAAAGTATTGTTAATCCTTTTTTTGGTAATTCATATGAAAACGTTGATAAATGGATTGATGAATTTGAAGATGTTATAAATTCTTTGAAATTAAGTGATTTGCATTAATTAGTTTTTGTTAAAAGATCATTAAAAGGTAAAGCGAAACTATTTATTCAGAGTGAACCTAAAGTTAATGACTGTAAGTTAAAAAAGCTTTTGAAATCTGAATATGGTAAAGCTTTTAATTCTGCTGAATTGCATGAAATGTTATGTAAGCGTAAATTAATGCCTAATGAATCTTTAGATGAGTATTTTTTGAAAATGAAAGAAATGTGTTCGCGAGGTAACATTGAAGATGCTTCATTAATTAAATATGTTATTGATGGTATTCCCGATTCTGTGGTTAGGAAAACTATACTATATGGTTGCGAAACGATAACTGAATTTAAACAAAGGCTTAAAATTTATGATAAAATGAGATCGGACAATGATAAGTTTAAAAATCCGAAACTGAAAGTAGACACTCAAGTTAACGATAGAAGTAAGCTTTCGTCATCAAACCGAAATCAATCTAACCTTAATAAGGTCAAATGTTTTAATTGCCAGAAATTTGAGGCATTATTCAAAGCATTGTGTAAACAAATCGAAGGGTGTAAAATGTATAAAATGTAAGAAGTTCGGGCATTATTCAACGGACTGTCCAGAGCGGAACCCCGAGACACAACAAGCAGCTTTATTACAACGAATTTCCGACAAGGATAGAATTATGAAGACTGTAGAAATAAATAATCATTTAGTTGATAGTTTAGTTGACACTGGTTCAGATGTAACGATATGCAGCGTAGAGTTACACAAGCAGATTGGTTCTCCTAATTTAAATTGTAGCGATATCACATTAAACGGAATTGAATCAAAGCAAACGTACCCCATCGGCTTTTTCATTTCTGATATTTCAATTGATGGTTTTTTACTTCGTACGAAAATTTATGTTTTTAAGTCATTATGTAATCAAATTGTATTAGGTTTCGATGTATTGAGTCAGTTTGACTTCTCTTTTACCGAGAATGGCCTTCAAATAATTTCTCATCGGAATAAAAGTAATGTAAACTTGATAACTGCTGAGTCATATCGAAATTCTAACGTTCGTTGCGTTATGGGAAATTTGAATATTGCTGTGTCATTGAAGAATGTTTATGATCCTTCTCAGTCGTCTGACGTCTCTGTTAATGTAAACAAAAGTCCCGAAAGCGGAGCTCAACGTTTAATTACCTTTCACATCTGGTGAATGCTATTTCTGTCAACGAAATTGATTTATCGCATATTTCGAATGCAGAACATAAAGAAAGACTGTGTAATTTAATTAATTCGTACCAGCCTCGGAAAAATAGACAATCTGACTTCAAGATGCAAATAAATTTATGCGATGAAATTCCTGTCTGTCAAAATAGAAGATACATGTCTTTCGCGGAACAAAAAATTGTTGACGATCAAATTAAGGAATGGTTGAAAGAGGGCATAATAAAGCCTAGCAATTCTAATTATTCGGCGCCTATTGTTTTGTGTAAACAAGCGTGATTAATTCGAAACGATTATGCATTGAGTATCGGAAATTAAATAAGAAGATTATTAAAGACAAATTTTCCACTGCCTTTAATTCCGGAAAGTACTTGATCGCTTAGAACAGTCAAAAGTCTTCACGACACTAGATTTGAAAAATGGCTTTTTCCATGTAGACATAGATGAAAATTGCACCAAATATACCGCTTTTGTAACACATAATGGTATCTACGAATTTCTTAAAGCTCCTTTTGGTTTATGTATTAGTCCAAATGTTTTTCAAAGGTATATTTATTCAGTATTTCGTGACTTGTTAAATGAAGGTGTACTAATTATTTATATGGATGATATAGTCATACCGGCTAATGATGAAGTTGAATGTTTAGACAAATTAGAAAGAGTATTCAAAACTGCTTCGGAGTATGGATTACAAATAAATTTTTCAAAAAGTGCCAATTCTTAAAAACGTTAAATATTTAAAATTAGAATTTTTTGGGTACAATTCGATTAATTGAGAAAGCAGGAACTAATTTCAGAACCATCTACCTTCCAAAACTTGCTTGCATAGAATTTCCAGAAACTTTCCAACAATTCAGAACATGTAACTTTAGTTAAAACAAACTACTTGAAAAGCTTTTGGAACAAAATGAAAACATGAGAATGATTAATTGTTACAAAATTAACATTCTTCATCAAATAAGTAATTGTACGTAGAAAATAGCTAGAAACTTACTTAGTGAAACTTACTTGTAGAAAAAAGGTACTTGGTTTAAGAATGTATACTGTCCGAACAAACAAGGAACCAATACCAACACATTTTAACTGTTGTCGACGCTTTTACGAAATTTACTTGGTTCTATCCAGTGAAATCACCAACTACGCAAGAAGTTATTTCAAAATTGAAGCAACAACAGACTGTATTTGGAAATCCAGCCAGAATCATTTCAGATCGAGGTAGTGCCTTTACATCGAAAGAATTTTCAGCGTATTGTACTGAAGAAGGTATAGAACATGTCAAAATTACTACCGGTATTCCAAGAGGTGGTAACGGACAAATTGAGCGAATTCATAGAATTTTGATTTCCTGTTTTGTCAAAATTATCACATGAAGATTCAACGAAATGGTTTAAGTATGTTCCAGATGTTCAGAGAATAATCAACAGTACAACTACGAGAAGTACGAAATATTCACCGTTTGAGCTTCTCATAGGCACGAAAATGAAGAACAAAGAAGGATTTGAGAATTAGTGAGATATTGAATGAAGAATATCTAAAACAATTGATGCAAGAACGGTGATGAAATGAGAGAAGATGCTAAAAACAACATTTTGAAGATACAAGAAGAGAATCGTAAACAATTCAACAAGAAACGTAAGAAACCGAAACTGTACAAGATTGGCGACTTGGTAGCCATTCAGAGAACTCAATATGGGACTGGTTTGAAACTACGACCTAAGTTTCATGGACCGTATAAAATCATAGCTGTTCGATCAAATGACAGATATGAAGTCGAGAAAGTAGGATGCCATGAAGGACCAAATTTGACATCTACTGCGGCTGACCATATGAAGCCATGGTCAAATTGATTTGATGTTTGTATCAGCTCAAAACCTAAGGACTTGATACTCTTTTTTCTTTTTCTTTTTTTTATTCTCTTTGCAGGTACATGATAGTGATGTCCAGTCAACAGACATCGAGGACGATGCCTCTTCAGGCTGGCCGAAGCTGTGGGAGTCATCAACATCCAATGCTGAATTAGAATACCAGATGACGTCACCATCACAGCCCAGCGCAGTAAGAATCATCCCAGACAGCGCTGAGACCTGGTCGAGAGCGGAGGGCAGACGTGAGCAGACGGCTCACACGTCTTCAAGAGTTTATGAACTTAGATTGTGCTTTTGATGTTATGCCTTTAGGTGTAAAAGGACTACATCATTATGTTAATCCTGCATACCGTTAACTTCATCTTTATTTACTTTTTCTTATTTACTTTTACTTCTTTCTATTAAACAAACCATTTAAATATTACTTCGTGCTCTCATGCTGTGAATTAAGTCAAATTCTACATTACTTTGCACTTTTGTAATTTCGAATGAATTTTTAAATGGAATTTTTAGATATGTGCTTTCTCAATTTATTTTCCCTTCAAATTCTGCTCGCGCACCCTATATGTCTTTAAAAAGAACACTTCTCTCTGATTAAATATCTAAAGTTTCAGTAAACAAATTAGGCGTTTATAAAGCTACAAACTCAAGCTCTTCGGAGTTTTATTACTTAACTAGCCATTACGCGCCAGCTTTCGTCTAGCTTTTAATGTACCGGGAAGATGCCTAAAAGTAACAGCAAACATTACATTTAAAATCTGCACAGACTCTGCAGAACAACTTTATCAAAAAAAGTTCAATAAAAATATATTACATATAAAAAAATTACAATGAAATAAGCAGTATCCTTTAACACAAATATTAATTATCCTAATGAATACAACTTCCCGTTGCTTTCTCTCTCGACAAGCATCCAGTATCCAAGAGAAACATGAAACTTAAAAACTGCACAGAATATTCGCCCTCAATTTTTCGAGCGGCAACAGTGCTGATATCAGCAACAATGGTAACAGTGGCATATCAGCAACAATGGCTGCCTGCTATTGTTGCTGATATAATGAGAGAGAATTATCGATCTGATGCGATTTCATCAAAAAAAACATAAAATAAAAAACACCTCATTCGAATTTTGAAAAACTCGCTTCAAGGTGCACTACCTCCTGTCTAGATGCACCTATGTACCAAATTTCGTAGCTCTGGTTCTATTAGCTTACGCGCAGTACGAACGAAAGACACACATACACATAGATAGACTCTTCCTTTTATATATATAGATTTAATAAGGTTACGAAATATAGAAGTGTAACAATAATCACAAACGCAAAACCGAGCTTCCTTAATTAACACGCTGAACGCCCCGTAACTGACACACGTGTGGCGAGAAACTTTCACCACAGACTCCGTTAATCCATTATCTGAAAGGTGGTTTTATTTATTCCATTAGTTAATAATTAAAAAAGTAATTAACAATTTTTGACAGAGCCAGCACACAAAACTTATGCAAAGGCTTTTAAATAATTTATTTTTAAAACTTTATCTAAAATTATGGTTGTCCACAAAGCTGTAACATGGGCAATGAATCAAACAAATCATATGTGTTGATCTTCACAGCTGCACTTTGCTACTTGCCACTAAACAATAGCTATGAATAAATAACTTGATAATGAGTTCGATAGATATTCACAGCCCGAATCGGATGTCGGTATGTTCTAGAGATTACATGCATGACTGTAGCAAGAAAGTACGAGACTATGTAAACGAAGATTACAGTCAAAAACAGCGCAAAACTTGCGCTCAGTTTTCTCTCTTTCAAGATCTCCACCCTACGTCACCAGTGACCTAAGTCCTAGGATAGTATATGTGCCATATAGTGACAAAAGTTTATGAAGATTAGTTGCCAAATCCAGGCAACAACAGACCGTTATTGTATAAACTAAAAATGCATGTCATTGCTTTGTCCAACAATGTCGCGATACCAGCTATTTCGTGCTGATGAATCTGCGCAATGAGCTGCAGTGGAACGCAGATTTGAGCTTTGCGGAAAATTTGCTCAATCTATATTGGCGTTTAAAACGTTGAATAAACATTGTAAAATAAAATTTAGAACATATACTGCTTATTATACTGCTTAATTATACTGCTTAGACTAATGTCACGATATCAGGAGTTTGTACTAAAGGAAGTGTTTGATAGCCTTCGGTGAAACCTTCTCGAGAAAATGTGCTCAATTTACACAGACGTCTAATGTGTTAAATAGCGTATTGTTATCATAAAATTCAGAAGAGAGGCACTTATTTGCATTGCTTAGTTTAATTTTGAGATATGTTGAGTGAATAATGTTCCCAGTTAAGAAATATGTGGTTATATGTGAAGTTATATGTGTTATATGTGGTTAATATATGACGTTAAGAAAATATGTGGTTATCTCTACGACTTGGTCACGGTTTTATTTATTTATACCGAAGGATATATGTGACGAAGATTTGGGCAAAAGATACGAAACGAAGATTTGGGCAAAAGAAAATTTTACATTTATTAGGTGTTCAATGAGGTAAATAAATACAGCTTATAATTTGAATAATTTGGAATAGTTAGCTTATAAGATATTTTTCCCTCCTTTCCACAAGACTTTGTGGTGTAATTGGACGCATAAACGATGCGTATTCAAGAGGTCCAGGGTTCCAGTCCCACCGAGGGCACTGCACATTTTTCACGTCTCCTGCTTCAAGAAAACCTAATGTCTCTACAAGTGGCCCACGAACTAAATGGTGGTGGATGATAATTTTCCCCCACCAGGATTTAGAGATAGGGTCCCCTAAACCCCAGTCGCCCTTTAAAAGGGGAGGTATATAAGGCATTTTCTCACTCTTTTCCGCACAGGGCTCGAAACCCGGCAAGGGCACTGCACATTTTTCATATCGCCTTCTTCAAAATAAACCTAATGACTCTACAAAGTAATTAGATACATATCCCAAAATCGGGTAACAAAGAGCTTTGAAACTGCAGCATCGAAGTCTAAAAGCATCCTTTAATTACATTCTCCGATTAGAAGTTAAATATTTTCTAAGATCTTTTTAATCTTTTTTCTAAGATTTGTCTAATCCTCTAGAATATTTCTATCTTTTTTCTTCTATAGTGGTAGATTACTAAGTTACTTGGTTAGTTGGCGAATACTAAGAGCTTCAAAAAATAAATATTGATAATTTATTAATTATAAACATAATATAAATCGAATTATCTTAGTCACCATCCATGATGATTTTAATTATCTACATAATACTTAATTTTAGGTACTCTTAAAAATACTGTAGAGCATAATTTATTTATCCTAATTATGTAAACCATTAATACAAGTTATTAGCACTTCATGCGCAGTCGAATTTCTACAAATTATATTTAAAATCATTACCAGAAAATAGATATCGATAAAATTTAGCTCAAAATGAAACATAATGTCTCACCTGCATGCCATTGGACATTGAGGATTACACATATTAAACACGTCATCTTCTTTAACTCCTAAGCAGTATACTGAAAAGTAAAAATTTATATATAAGTCACACTGGAGCCTTGCTTATGTTCTAAAAGTGGGGGAAAGAAAAGAAAATAGGAAAATTCGAATTCTTGATAACGCGACATGAAATTTACTGTTTGCATGCTTCTGAAGAATAAAGAGTTTTGATCGAGAAAAATAGAGTTTCTGATTCAGATTAGGAATAGTTTAATATATTCTTAGGAGGTGCATGATAAGTGCTCGTTTCGGGTGACACCTAGATGGATCGTTCTGCTTCGCCGTCAGGTTAAGGTGAAATTTACACCGATGGTATAAATATCTTTCTTCACTTGCAGTGGTGAAGTAATCGCAACAGATATCAACCCCGAGGTAAGACAAGAGATACAAAGACTTCCTCATTTTTGTCAGACAGATCGCCCCAGTTCTAAAGCTTGAGCAACAAGTCAAAATCCTGCAGGCGATCGATCACCGTGATATTATGTTCCTATAAGGAAGATTAATTACATTAGTGTTATACCTCTGCAAAAGTATGAGGTTATGTTATAAGTGGATGTGCTGGAATTCATAGTCGTTCTGAATTAAACCTTTATTCAGTGCAAAAACTTCGATGATATCTTATAAAAGTTACCTGAATTAATAATTTATACTGCATTTCTTCACTCTACCTTCATTTGAATGCGATGGTAACATAGCAGCTGAATTCGGAAGCAATAAATTCATATTTGAAGCCGTACACCAAGCAATCACGAGCATCGATTTTTGAGAGGCACATTACAGACAAATATATAAATCATGCGTTTAACTTGTCTCACCTAATACGTACAATGTTTTTAATATTCTGCAACATATATTTTGAGGATACTTTGGTAATGTTTTTCTCTAATCTGTAAAATGCCCTAAACTTCCCCAATAGTTTAAAAATTTGTATACTTCTTTAGAGTAAGCTGTTATGTATACGAAATTCGAATGGACAGAATTCAGCTAACTTGGAAGAACTGGTTTGCCATTGTGATAGATCACATTATTTGACTTCGCATCTCCATTTTAAGATGCCATTGAGAAACTCTTTAAAATCCGGTGCTTAAAAACTTTTGCGCAATTACAGTGAATGTTTAAAAAGAACTCACTTTGTGAGTCATACTGGCAAGGCGTGCCATCATACATCAGAGCCAGCCGACGATAAGTGCAGCCACACAATTTCTCCGTTTCAGTCTTGAAACATTCCAGTAGACAGTTCTGAAAATGTGCACTTATTAACTATTTTCAATAATCTAATTCTTATTTGAGGACTATCTAATAAATTGCTAGTTATTCAAAGATATTACTTCATTGCAACTTGTTCATAGTTGCCGATAAATAGTATATTTTTAAGTCAACGATTTATATTAAAAAATTAAGATGCGAGGGTAAGCAAAAATTCACAACATGTGAAAAGTAATAATTTTTTTTTTTTTTTTGATGTCCTTGGGATGTCAGATGATTTAAAAGTAATAAATTAATTAGAGAGTGGTGACCTAAAGAATATCTCTGAGGACAAAAGCGTATAAATGACTAAAAATATTCATATTTTCAAATTCTGCGATGTTTTACCTGAGAGGGTGAACTGCGCGTAATGTTTGCATATAATAAACATTATTTTACTTGAATACACGATATTTATAAATTTTTAATTTTCTTGATTTAGTGAATTATCTTCGGTACAGCAAGATCACAAATGGAGTTAAATCGATTTCAATATATTAAGTATTACAGCTTGCCACCTAATACGTACAGCTAGAAACATAAAAAACTGCCTCCGGAATTAAGATAAGTTTAATATAATTTCAGATCATTATTTGCTGAATATATACTCATTTAATCTGCTTGTCACTACGACAAGAGAAAAACGTAATCGTTAACTCTGTTACAAATTCCTTCCTACGAAACCAGCGCCCACCAGCGGTCGAGTGGTAAAGAGGCTGAACACTGGTAGTTTGGTCCATGGTTCGAATCCCGCGAACGGGCTGGCTGCATGGGTGTTTTCGTGGTTTTCTCCATGTGTAACGTGTATACGAGCCAGTTTTCCTTAGAAAGTCCTCCACGAAGGCATCCCTCCCTTTAGGTAGATAGCTCTCGTGTGCTTTGCCGTAATTAAATAATCCAATTCAATAATCCAATCCTACGAAACCAAATGAAGCTTATTACGGAACAATATTCTTTACCTTCCTCATACTCAACTTTTAACACAATACTTAAGCAAAGTAAAGCATTCCGCTCAAGTTGCATGCCATCAAGTGTTGATCTAGTAGAATGCGTTTTATTCGCTCATTTTTCTGTCTTAGCTTTTTGCAAATATTGAATTGGTACGCAAGTTCATATCATTTTAACTCAAGATATTTTACAGAATAGTAATGATGAAACAGCAAGACATTAAAAGGCAGCGGTAATGTTCCGTATTTAATCATTCCGGTGTGCGTCATTGTTATTAATAAACTTTTATTTTGGGGGTAACCCAAAAATCCGTCGTGTAAATTATGATACCAGCATCTTTTTTTTTACATTCTGATCATGATGGATCCTCATCAGACCACTTATGAACTGGCCGAAGACATGGTCAGTTATCAAACCGAGTTGTGTAACATCTATAACTTAAGAGAAAGGGCTTGTAAATTAGGATCTAGGTCTCCTCCTAGTGTTGCCAAGGACAACAAAAATCACCATATTACTCGTTGTTGCGAATGTTCTCACCTACACAAATCCTTTCTCTTAATCTCGAATATTCTCTTCAACACAAAGCCTTTCTATTTGGCATTGCTGTCGGAAATGGAATGTGGTGCATCACTGTCACACAAATTTATCGAATAAAAAAAATCTGGAAGGGTACGGAAGATGTTTGGAAATGGAGTCTCTTGTCTATTTGACATTCAGAATATGAAAACACAAAATGCCATTGGTGCAATCGCACAACTCAGCATAGTTTGAACACATAATATTACTAGCTACATTTTGTCTATTTGCACTATCATTAATATCTTGTAAAAGAATCCTGAAATAAAATAGCAATAGCTCATGCCTGTTATGACTATAATGAATGTCGTTTATTAAAAAATTATCAGAGAACGCAGACCCCAGTTGAACCTTACTTATTCTGTGGAAAGAATTGGTTCCAGATTGAAATGATTAAGTTATGCTTAAACGCCTTTGAATCCCAACGTACAAATTCCTCTGCCAAGTACATGAGTATCGAAGATTAAGCTAATGATTTTTTGTATTTTATAAAACTGTAACTCTGTGAAATATACCAATAGTTGAGTAAATTATGAAGCATGGCATGTAAATTATGAAAAATATATTTAAGTTTAAATATCAATAACTACATATCTTCTCATTTTGCTTCCATGCATATAACATAAATAAATGCCTAATGTTCTAAATAATGATTTCGTTTCAGCTTAGATTCAGCATATTTTTAGCATGTTATAAATTTGAAGAATTGTTTTTACTACTGAAAAAAATATGACATTACTTTTTGACTCATACGGGCCCCTGTCCTTCTTTCCTTTTCTTCTTTATAGCTCCTACACTTTGTTTGATAAGGACTCTTTAGCAATTCAGTAGACACCTAAATATAGAAAACCGAAAGGAAATTTGAAATGGATTTGTTACCTATTATAGAAAAGCATGCACAGCTGTCTGCCTAGACTCCAACACGTTTAATCAAAAGCATCCCGGGAAATCAAAATAATTTGCTATTTCCTGTCTCAAATATATGAATTAAGAATTAAAATTCGTAAATTATCCATTGTAAAGTACCGAATAAATATCTGACTTAACAATTAAAAATATATTTAAGATGAATAAACATATAAATTGTCAAGTAAAAAGAGAATAACTTTATTTAAGATGATTTTTATACGTTCACTTCTCACACTTACGAATGCATGGTGGAAACGAACGTACTGTCAATTAATCAATTGCATTGTAACATATTTTCTTTCTCCTTCCAGCATGCCTTCGTGGTGTAACAGTAGCACACGCAGCGCATATTCGAGAGGTCTAGGTTCCAGTCCCGGCCAGGGCACAGCTCATTTCTCATGTGTCCTGCTTGAAAATAAGCTAATGACTCTAAAACATCAAGAATGGTAAAACTGTTGAATTACAAAATATTATTATATGGATATGCCATTAAACGAAAATCCGAATTATGATATTCCTTCAAGTGAATAAAACTTGTTATACCTAATTTATTTTTTGACATAAACTTAAGCACTGTGATAGGATTTTAAATGCATTTACAAGGTAATCGTATATTAATGTCTATGTCTGAGGCCTTGTGGAGGGCTATCTGTGATCCAAATACTCTGCGCATCGCTCGAAAGTCATAGCTTGCAGGAAAAAATCTAATTTCAAAATTCACTTCCATTTAAATGTTCACTTAGTCTGTTCATTAGCTGCACTTCTTAATGTACGGCCTTTTCGGTGTGCTTCTGACTACATGGATTCAAAAATGTGTTTAATAACGCAACACAAATGAATATAACTGATGTTGCTTATTGCACGTTGTTATGCATTACGTTATACTATCTTTCAGCACAGAATGATTTTTATAAATCTTCTATTTAATAAATTCCTAACTTAGGATAAAGATCGTTTCAAATCAGGTGGACGATGAGATTCAATAGTGAGAAACTCTGAGATAATGATTTTGCCTTCCGTCAAATGTTCTCGAAAATCCTCAAGATCAACCAGTGCATGGGAGGAACTTATCCTGTACGAACATGACTGAATAAGGATCTCAAGGATTTACCACTAACAACTAGTTTTATATAGCCACAACTCCGTTCGGGTAAAAGTGGGCATCAGTTCTCGAACTATTCATCATGGACGTAAAATATCCAACCCTATTCAAACATGAAAATTTCAGATGATAACCAATAATCGTTTTAGTTGTTCGGATGCAACTCCTGCGTCTTGATTATTATCAAATGGGTAGAAATCTAACAGAATTTTCTAGGCAGTTCATATGCCCCTTTTAATAGCCTTGTCTAAAAAAACGAAAACAAAACAGCAGTTCCATTGATATGTTAGTGTTAGTAAAATGCTTTGTTACCTCTCCAAATTTCCAAAAACCAGTTTTTTAAAATGCCAGTCTAACCAGTGGCCGAGCTATTAAAAGCACTAAACATTCGAAGTATTACTTGAGCTTTGATCCCGGTGAATAATCTGGCTGTATGGTAGTTTTTGTGCTTTCTACAATGTGTAACGTGAATATGAACCACTTTCCCTTAAAAGATAACCCCACAAATACATTCCTTTCCTTGCGCCTAAGTACGCTGAGTATTCTTCGCCAGAATCAAAATAAACCAGTGTAAACTTACTCTCCATAATAAAATGACCATCGCTACTGGTCTTAACTGTTGCCCAAACCTAAACTGGTTAGTGCCCACCATTTGAAAAACAAAAAGCTTATTCTTAATTAAGCGATATTTCTTGAATTCATCATAATTCTTAATGAAGTTAAGCTGTAATAACAACCCATAACTGAAATGTGAGGGGTGATTCTATGTTCGAGACAAACTGACAAAATGGTATGTTCGCACGGTGAGTTTGAGTAGTTGGGCAGCAAGCTAGAAAAGCAATTATTGCAGTATTGCCATTATTAGCACTCTGGCGGACAAAATATACATTGAAGTGATCATATTGGAAATGCAGTGAGTTCCAACATAACTGAAATACTTCAGGAGATTTGACAATTTCACAATGCCCGTAATCGGGTATAAAAACATAAAAGTCTATTCATAATTTAAATCCTGCACTGCAGGGTGTTGCTATTCGTCAATATAAATTAGGATTGCAGGCAGACATCTGTCTTATTTGCAACTGGAAACATAATGTACCTAGTGAAACATTCATATATTTTAGCATATAGTTCTTAGTTGCATTCACAGATGTCACCAGATACTTTATTTATTAGATTTAGAAATGCAACTAATAGCGTCATAGCGAGTGTTACCAAACTACAGACATTGCATTTGTGATACTGATTTCAAGAGTGATTTTTGCTATTTTAAAAATTATTTTAATATTGTATGAGCGTGGTAGAAATAGACACATGACAATTTTATCCATTATTGTGAATATAAAATTCTACGTTGTTGTTTAGAAGCGTCGTGTATTCCGTCAGAGTCTGGTGGTAAGCTGACTGCTCGTTTCTAAGTAATTTAAGGCTGTTTCTGTGGTTTTACGCATTATTTATGTGTTTTATTTACTATATTCTGAGAAAATTTGGTTAGCTAGTGGAATTGTGGATGGTAAAATAGGGCTTTTAATACCAGTGCCCTGTGAATGAAGATGAAATAAATGGCAAAATTTAGTAGCAACAGTAGCAATAAATTAACAATAACAAGTTATGACACAGTAAATCTTATTGTTTCTGTTGGGAATGGCATCACTAAGCCAACGAATCAAAAGCCAGATAGAGACTGACGTCATGGGACGCCAGAGGAAAACGAACAGTTCCGGTTTAGTTTGCTAAGAACGATGTTTGCCTGATGTGGCTAGATAGATATTGTAGCTAGATAAAATATTTTATATTCTTTTAACTTGTCTTTATGTGTAAATAAAGCTTTTTGCTTAAGTTTAAATGAAGTACTCCATTTATGACAAGATAACTGTTAATTCATCGGGTAGATGACTTACGAATCCCTTCTGAGCTAGCCATTGTTCGAACGTAACGCCTTACGTAACATAACATTGTGGCGCCAAGACGTGGGGCGCGATAACAGCTAAAATAAATTGAAAATGGAGCTTACACAGCTGAAAACTGAAAGAAAATGTCTAAGAACTTCCTTTACCACATGTGCAAACAAAATTGATGCAGAACTGAAATCAGATATTCCTGATTTGAAGCTACTTTCGATTCTGGAACAACAGCTTAGAGACAAGTTTAATCGACTTGAAATTTGCCAAAAGGAAGTAACGTCGCTAATTCTACAATCTAAAGAAGCTGAAAAGCTATATGAAGAAGATTTTATTTCGTCTGAGCCTTATAGAGATAAATATTTTGAACTGTGTTCTCAAATCGAAAAGCTGTCGAAGAATCCTTTACCTACTGAATTACCAGAGAAGCGCAAATTTAAACTGCCGAAGATCGAACTAAAGAAATTCAACGGCGAAGCAAAAGAATTTTTGACGTTTTGGAGCCAGTTTTCGAAGATCCATGAAGATCCGACGATTCCAGATGAAGATAAATTCCAGTACCTCCTGCAAGCAGTTGTTCCTCAGTCCAAAGCCGCACGGGTAGTGGAGAGCTTTCCGGCAACGGCGTCGAATTACCCGAAAGCAATCGCCCAGCTTCGAGAGAGGTTTGGAAGAGAAGACTTACTTGTACAGATATACGTCAGAGATCTTCTAAGCATGGTTATGCGTAATGCAAGCAGTGGACGTGTGAAGACGGATCTTCCCACTCTCTACGATGATTTAGAAACCAAGATTAGAGCTTTAGAAAGTCTTGGAAGAACGCAAGAGAAGTATGGTGATTTCTTAACGCCTTTAGTTGAATCCTGCCTGCCCGAAGAAGTATTAATTGCTTGGGAGAGAAACAGAAATTTAAAAGAAGCACCTCAGCCTGATGACCGATGCCTTGATGAATTTTCTGAAACAAGAAGTGAAAGGAGAAGAGATGGTCGTGTTAGCCCGCACTGGGTTTGGTTCTAATCATATTTCTAAGAGAAAAGGATACACTAAATAAAAATTTAGATTTCGCCACCGCAGCTGCGTTAGTAAGTACATCAAATTCTGAGAGCCCAGGTAAGCGCAATTTTAACTGTCTCTTTTGTGAAAAACGGCACCCAACTAAAGAATGTTTTTCTGCTAGAAATATGACATTAGAAGCTAAGAAAAATATATTAATTAAAAAAGGGGCCTGTTTTGGATGTTTCAGATTTGGACACACTTTTAAAACATGTCGAGTAAAAAATTCTTGCATGTACTGTAATAAAAATCACCATTCTTTAATGTGTCCCAATCGCCAAGAAAAAAGCGCAAATGAAAAGTCTAAAAGGGACGTAACTGAAACCAGTACATTAACTAATAACTGTAAAATAGAAAATGTTTATTTAATGACTCTAATAGTTAAAATTAAATTTAAGAATGTTGAGCTTAAAGTACGCACATTACTGGATACAGGTTCTCAGCATTCGTATGTCAGTAAAAAATTAGTAGAGAATTTAAATTTAAAACCATTAAGGCAAATTAAATTGAAGCATTCGTTATTCGGTGGAAGAGAAACGCGAACGCAGATTCACGATGTTTATAATTTGTTGATTTCGGCATTAGATGAAACTTTCTCCTTTCAAATCGAAGCACTTTCCGAGAGCAAAATTTGTGGCACAGTGCCAAAAGTGAACGATAGTAAAATTATTAATGAACTGAAAGATAGAGGCGTCAGTTTGTCTGATTTGGGTTCTTCTGATCGTGAGATTCGGATCTGCTTTTGGGAGCAGATATTGTGGGCGGTTTATTTACTAATAAATCTGTTCGGTTGGAGTCAGGGTTATTTTTGATCGACACTTGTTTGGGACATGTGTTAACTGGGAAGCATGAGTCATTTGGAGATAGCAATGATGATACTGTTTTGAATGCAATTTCGTTGTATGTTAGTAATTATTCGATAAAAGATTTATGGTCTTTAGAATCCATAGGTATTTCAGATCCCATTGAAAATAATAGAAAGAATTTAGAACATTCTAGAGTTTTGGAAGAGTTTAAAAATAATGTGAAAATTCTTTCAGACGGTAGATATGAACTTTGTTTACCTTTTAAATCTGATGTGGCCGATTTGCCGACAAATAAAGATTTAACTTGGAAGCGGCATAAAAGGATGTGCCAGCGAGCACAAGATAAAGCATTTTTAGAAGAATATACTACGATTTTCCGGGAATGGGAAAAATTGAATATAATTGAAAAGGTAACTGATAATATTGAGACGGGACATTTTTTACCTCATCGGCCAGTAATTAAGGACAGTACCACTACAAAAATCAGACCTGTCTTTGACGCGTCAGCCCGAGAAAGTGGTAAATGCTCTTTGAATGACCTTTTGTATAAGGGTCCGAACTTACTAGAAATAATTCCAGAGATACTTGATAGGTTTCGAATTCATCCAATAGGATTATCTTCAGATATTGAGAAAGCATTTCTGATGCTAAGTATAGCCCCTCAACATAGAGATTTCTTGCGGTTTTTTTATCCGTCCGAGAGTGAACAGATTGTTTACCGACATCGCAGAGTAGTATTTGGGTTAAAGTCGAGTCCATTTTTATTGGCAGCCTCAATTACACATTTATTAGATAATGTACCATCTGAATTTGATGCTATAGCACAAAAACTGAAACATTCTTTTTACGTAGATAATTGTGTTTCTGGTGTTGCAAATATTGAGGAGCAGGAAGATTTTATTGTAAATGCAAAAGATATTTTGTCACGGGGTTGCTTTAACTTAAGAAACTGGGAGAGTAATGTAAAATGTAAGTATGTTTCTAATAGTACTGGTGTCACGAAAGTATTGGGAATTTTGTGGGATCTTGATAAGGACACTCTTAAGTGTAATTTAAACTTTAATCTTGTAAGTGAAGATCAGAATTTTACTAAGAGAATCATTTTAGCTACAGTTCACAAAATATTTGATCCAATAGGTCTGTTGAGTCCTGCAATCTTACCACCTAAGCTTTTACTGCAGGAAACGTGGAATTTAAATCTAAAGTGGGATACTCCCTTACCAGATAGTATTCAAATGTCTTTTAAAAGATGGTTTAGAGAAATAGATGCATTAAGAGATATCGAAATCTCACGTTATGTTGAAATAAATGATTCCACTGAGATGCATGTTTTCGTAGATGCGTGCAAAGAGGCATATGCCACCTGTATTTTTTTTAGAACGAGAACCTCTCAAGGGGTAAAAATTTACTTTGTTAGAGCAAAAACCAGAGTTGCACCTTTGAAGAAAGTAACGATCCCTAGGTTAGAGTTAATGGCTTGCTGCATTGGTGCCAGGTTGGCATATTCAGTGAAGCAGGCTTTAAATGCCCATGAGATTAAAACAATATTTTGGAGCGACTCTAGGGTAGCTTTATACTGGTTAAAAGAACGTGGTGATTGGACAGTTTTTGTCTCGAACAGAGTAAAAGAAATAAATAATCTGTTTCCTAATAATGAATGGCGACATGTGCCAGGGAAAATGAATCCCGCTGATCTGATTTCGCGAGGGTGTTCCCCTAAGAAATTGTTAGAATCCTGCTGGTGGAAAGGCCCGGCATGGTTGTTGCAAGCAAGAGACAACTGGCCTGACACCGAAATATTGATAACGGAAACACCCGAAATAACACTTGAAAGGAGAAAGGTTAGGTTATGTAATATTAATTTGTCGGAAGAGAGAGTCCCGTGGTATGCCATTAAATTCTCAAATTTCCATTCAATAGTTAGAATGGTTGCATGGATATTGAGATTTATCAGTAATGTAAGATCGCGTCATGATACTAGACGGGGGGGAGAACTTCTAACGCAGGAGATTGAAAATGCTGAAATTCTGCTTATTCGTAATGTGCAAGCTCAATTTTTTCCTAGTGAAACCTCTATTCGGAACTTGTGTGTTTTCAAAGATGTGAACGGAATTATCAGAGTTAAAACTCGAATTACTGAACGCATAGATAAGCCTTTCTTCATTTCACCTATTCTTCTTCCTGATAAATGTATCTTTACTCAAAGACTGATTGAATATTTTCACCGAGAAAACTGTCATGCTGGAACCCAGATATTACTAAGCATATTGCGTGTGAAAAGTACTGGATTACAAGAGGAAGAAGAGCGATACGTAGTGTTCTGAAGGACTGTATTAAATGTCGACGATACAAAACTAAATCTCTCATCACTGAACCAGTTTCCTTACCTGCTGATGATAGAGTGGAAAATGCTGCAGCTTTCGAAGTAGTTGGTATTGACTTAGCAGGTCCCCTATTTGTAAAAACGTGGGGACAAAGTATGGATGGTTCTCTACACACGTGTGCTCTTTATAGAGCAATTCATTTAGAGTTAATAACATCGCTTTCCTACTGATGCTTTTCTGTTATCATTTAGACGTTTTGTTGCTAGAAGAGGAAGACCTAGAGTGGTTTATACAGACAACGGTACAAACTTTAGGGGAGCTTATAATAATTTTTAGAAATTGATTAGAGTAAAATAACTCGACAAACAGAAATACAGAAGATCGAATGGAAATTCATTCCCCCACTGCTGCCTGGTGGGGCGGATGGTGGGAAAGACTTGTTCGAGTAGTCAAAGAACTCCTTAGGAGAACATTGGGCAGAGCTGTTCTTACCTATGAAGAACTGGAAACAGTTATGTGCGAATGTGAAAGGGTAGTAAATTCGCGACCCCTGACGTATGTATCCGAAGATACAGAAGACTTAGTTCCACTTACACCTGCCATGTTTTCTGACCGATAGATCCAATTTAGAGTTGTAACTGATATAGACACAGTAGACACCAATCATCTCAGGAAAAGAATCAGATTTCGTGCAAAATTAATGGAAGATCTCCGAGTACGTTTTTCGAAAGGAATATTTAGGACTACTTATTCAGAAACGACAGCAAAATTCACACTTTCCAAATATTCGAGTGAATGACGTTGTGTTGATAGGAGATGATATCAAAAAGAGATTGAATTGGCCTTTAGCCAGGGTTACGGAACTGATTCCAGGAAAGGGACGGTAAAGTGAGAACAGTTAGATTAAGAACGTAAACTAACAATTTAGTACGTCCGATACAACGAGTGTTTCCCCTAGAAATCCAAGATGATGATTTGTCAGGTTCATGTCATCCAAGTGATCCTCAAAAACATCGATCTGCTGTAAAGTCTTCAGATTCTCATTGTGGAGACGACATGAGTACCTCTCATCATTCAGAAATTTCTGGGTCACCATGATCTCCGGACCCCACTGATGTTTCCGATGTATGTGACAGTTCTAAGACTATAAAGACACGAGCTGGTAGAACTGTTAAGATGCCACTTAGACTGAACTTGATAGACTTGAATGTTTTGAGTAGCTATCCAGCAACTCAAAGGGGGGAGGATGTTGGGAATGGCATCACTAAGCCAACGAATCAAAAGCCAGATAGAGACTGACGTCATGGGACGCCAGAGGAAAACGAACAGTTCCGGTTTAGTTAGCTAAGAACGATGTTTGCATGATGTGGCTAGATAGATATTGTAGCTAGATAAATATTTTATATTCTTTTAACTTGTCTTTATGTGTAAATAAAGCTTTTTGCTTAAGTTTAAATGAAGTACTCCATTTATGACAAGATAGCTGTTAATTCATCGGGTAGATGACTTACGAATCCCTTCTGAGCTAGCCATTGTTCGAACGTAACGCCTTACGTAACATAACAGTTTCTGAAGTGAAAGCTATTATCCAAAATGGGTGCTTAAGTGAAACTGATTCTTCTGAGTTGACAGAAAGTGCAAGAAGAATATGAAACTCAGAAGCCTCAAACGCAGTTGTTATTGGAGATGTTTCAAGATTGTAAAATAAGGCATCAAAGAAAGTACTAGATAAGTTATGAAAGGAGACAATGAAATATGTGGAATAACCACTTCTAAAAAGAACAGGCATATTTGACAAAATGGAAGCTCCTTATTATCGATAAAAGTTTAGGTCCATTTGACTGTTTTGTAGATCCATTTTTAGTATGTAATTTCTACTATATAAGTCGTAGTTATCACTGAATGCATGTTCTTGCCAAATAGCAACAAGAATTAAATAAATTACTGCAGAGTAAAAAAAAATATATGTATATTTTAAAATATTTTCCTCTATCTCTGACAAGCCCTTTAAACAGCATACAATTTTGTACTAAAATAAAATGTCATGCAATATAGAGTTAAACACATTCTTTGCACACTTACTTTTTGGAACCCATAAGAATAAAATTCCCCGGCTTCCAAGCTAGCGGCATCATAGGTTGGATTAGGAACGATATCATTGGAATGAATAGACATTTGAAGTTTCCCAACCACAGAACCACTGAGATTGCTGTAGTTGTCAACGTCCGTGTTGACACATATAATTAATTCTGTAAATGTGAAGAAAAGAATTAATGTAAAAATGAGTTCGGCAATAAGTATTTTCTCATAAAATATATTACATTTCTTTTCTTAGAAATGAATATTTTGAGGAAGAAAAGTGTAATTTACCTGTAACTCGTAACACTTGCATGATTTATGTAGGAATAAAGGCTGCATAGTTATACATTATTTTCATAAATCAAGTTGAAACCTTCATCCGATTTGAATTATTTTGGGAGTAACAAACTATAGACCTGATATTTTAAATTTCGTATGAGCTGAACTAATCAGTAAAATAAAAATAATTGCTAAAGTCCAGTTGCATGTAGTTTTTAATTTCTTTTGATATCAATTCGTTTATTTCTGTCATTAAAAAAAGGCTTTCATTAAATGCAATATACTTTCTGACATCAGAAATCAACATTGTTTTCAGAATAAAAATAAATGGATTTTTTTAAATAAATGCTATGTCTTTTTAAACTAGTATTTTCAAAATATGTTTGTTCCTATAAACTGTTTGGTTTTCATTTTCTACAACATAAAAAAATTCTCAATGGACATTTCGTATGTTATATTTTACAGCTTTCTTTTAAACAAATTGCTCTTCAACGACAGAATGAAGATTCTTAATCGTGCCTAAAACTAAGGATTACTGACAATGCCCCAGTTTTCATTACATAGCTGTTGCTCTACTAATTATTGTCACTGTTATAAAAAGTATAAAAACATGCATTTCTAGCTTACCAAAAAGTCCATTATACTGTTTCAGTGTAAGAAGCATTTAAAATTTCCTTACGTAGCTAATAACGGAGGTATTAACAATATTATCACAATAGAAAATATGTTAAAGGGTTAATTCTAGCTGCCAAGCTTATCAAAATATTAATTAATTTCTTCTTTTGTCATAAAAAATTCTTATTTACACTCACACACATTTTGACATATATGCATGCAACGAAACCTCAATTGAACTTTATTTTATATTTTCAACATGAAACACTGCTTATTATTATAAACTTGTGGTTTTTATTTTCATATTTTCATATCTTATTCTCCTTATTGTGAGAAATTAGTTGCTTACCAGTTATTGATGTATGGAATACTAATATGCACAAAGACAGTAGGAATCTTAGAAGTAGAGAAATGAAAGTTGTGTATGATCTATTTCCAGTAAAACCAAACCTTAGTGGTTTGAAATGAAATTAAAAATAAATAATTTAATACTAATTTACAATAATAAACATTTATAATTGTAACAAACACAGATTATTGTTGTTTTCAGTAGGAAATAGTAAATGCACATAGTATAATTCGAGAATACATTGTGAAGTCACATGTTTAATCCCACCCATGTAATGACATCATTTAGCTCCGCCTTCGCGATTTTGTTTATGCAGCGCATTTTGAGGTTTTACCAAGTTTTCAATTGAATACTACATGAGAGAACTCTTAAGTTTAGTATTAAAAAAGGAATGCATGAAATATGCAGTTATACAATAGGTTTAGAAGCTCAATTGAGAGCATTAGATTCCTTGTGTATGGCAAAAAAATAAGTATGCAGCTATGCTATTTCCCTTAATCAAATCGGCATTTCCTGAAATAACATTTAAAACTTGGGATCATTATCGTACTTCTAAGAATATTTCTACCTCCAATCATTTGAATTAGAAGTAGAAAATAAGGAAAGATTAAAACTTAGAAAGTATAATTTTAATGAAGAATCAAAAGGGAATTTGAGAATTAACAGCAGAAGTAAAGATACTCCGATGCCTGCTGTTTTAGTTTCAACAGAGAATTCTCGAATTAAAGAAAAAGTTTGCATTTTTTATTAAACTTATAAATCACAAGACTCTGCTGCAGTTTCTGATTCCTCGGTTGATGAACACAATAACGTAATGAAGAAGAAAGGTGCTTGTTTTGGATGGTTAAGAGCAGGCCATATGAGCTTAAAATGTCAAGTTTCTGTAAGATGCATCTTATGTAAAGCTCAGCATTACTCCATAATGTGTTCCAATATTAAAAACTCTGAAAATGACAAAACGTCGCGGAAAAGTAGTTCAAACTTTATCTATTTAATCCAAGTATTAGGTTTCGTATTTACAAACTCTGATTGCACATGTTGTTGATGATAATAAAACATATCTGGTGAGATTATTATGCGATTCACGCTCTCACAGAAGTTATATTAAGAATTCATGTGAAAAAGAATGTAATTTGATGCTATAGGGGAAGGTAACGATATCGCAAGTTTTGTTCGGTGGAAAGAGGATTCTGTTTTCGGCATATGATGTGCACAAAATTAAGTATTGATTCTCAGATTGCTTTTGAATTTGATGTCATTGAATCTGATCAAATTTTCACTGGCATATCAAAATTTAGAAATGAGAAGATTAATCAAATCCTTAAAAGTAAAGGTATTGAAATGAGTTATAAGGTATTTCTCCCCCCTTCTTGACGTGCTTTCGTGGTGTAGTAGTTCTGCACGCTGGGTCGGTATTCCAGAGGTCAGTGGTTCGATTCCCAGTGAAGTCGTTGCTAATTTTTCAGTCTCTCTTGCTTCCAAAAAAAATCCTGGCGCCCGAACTAAAAGGGTGTTAGATGATGATTCTCCTCACCCAGGATTTGACGATTTGGCCCCCTAAAAACCCCAGTCGCCCTTTAAAAGAAGGAGTATATAAAGTATTTCTTCCACCTTCTTGGCTTGCCTTCGTGATGTAGTGGTTCTGCATGCTGGGCCGGTATTTCAAAGGTTCGTGGTTCTATTCCTGGCGAAGGCGGTTGCTAATGTTTCAATATCTCATGCTTCCAAAAAAATCCTAATGTCTCTACAAAGTGATTATTTAAAAACTAATCAATATTTGATAGACATCCAGATATTAGGCGCTAATGCTTGGGAGAAAATTATAACATCCGATGTGGTTTCTCTTGAAGAGAACTTAGTGGCAGTCTGTGTGAAAGGTTTTGATTCCATTGGAGTTTCCTTGCCAGCCCTTCTTATTACAAAGATTATTTTGCAGAAGACTTGAAAATTAAAGTCTGATTAGGATGAAGAACTACCGTCAGACATTCAGAAAGAATTCATTAAATGAGCTTCAGAAATAAATTTTTTCAATGATTAACGAGTCCCAAGAAGAGTCCTAATTAATTCTACAAGCTCCTTACACCCCTTCTGTGATGCAAGCAAATTAGAGCATGGTGCCTGTATATTTGTAAGAACGCAAGAAAATAAAGAAGTTTTCTTGACTCTTGTCATAGCGAAATCCATACTTTCACCTCTGAAGGAGATTACTTAACGCGGTTGGAATTCATGGCTGCCCTTCTGGTTGTAAGGCTATATCAGTTGGCTGTTAAAAGTTTGAACAGTGCAAATATGAAAACTTATTTCTGTTCAGTTTCTTCAATGTTTTTGGTGTGGCTAAAAAGCGAAATAATTGCTCTGTTTTTGAAGATAACAGAGTTAAAGAGATTCAAGATTACAGCTAAGTAGGATTGTTGAAAACAAATACCGGTATCTTAAACCCTGCTGATTTATTGTCAAAAGAATGCTATCTATTACATCTCCTTAACTCTCAGTAGTGGGCAGGACCTGAATTTCTGAAAAAAATCTCAGAAATTTTGCCTTCAAATGCTTCTGATTCTGATATGGAAGAAATCAACAGAGAACGACATCGAACTGTCATTTCGACGAAGAATTCAACATTTGAAAACATTCTAGCTAAACTTGCATTCAGATTTTTGAAATATTCTATGATCGTACGAACTATTGCTTGGATGTTAAGATTTCAACCCACTTACTTGAAGATTGAAAATCTTCGGGATACTATATCCGTTGAAGAATTCGAGAAAGCAGAAAAAACTCTATTTTCCCTTATACAGAAAATGCTTTTGGTGAAGAAAGACTGATCTGAAAAATCTTCGGGTTTTGATTGGTGAAAGGAAATTTTGAGAATGAATTCTAGGATTTTTGATTCTCCAGATTTACAGGAATATACATTCCCTATAATTTTACCTTCGAAAAATATAATTGTGGAAAGAATGATTGAACAATTACACTTAGAGTATAAACACATCTAATGATTCTGAGAGAAGGAGTTTGAATTATAAAAGGTAGGAAAACTGTATGATCTGTAGTAAAATGGTGTGTCACATGCCAGAGACACGCAATTAAGGTCTTAGAAGTACTCCTTTACTTGAAGACTGTTGAGATATTTGTAATCGCATTCTTACTGGTTAAAAGGAAGTATAGCTTTCTGTCAAGTCCGATACATTCATTAGCTTTCAGCCAGGTCCGAGTTATTCTGAAACTTAAATCTCATTCTGTATGTTACTTTTGATTGGTTATTTATTGTGTCTTGTTTATGATTTGTCAAACCATGATCTGTTATAAAGTTATATATATGACCTCTGTAACGGCACAGCATCGGACTTTGGATTAAAGCTCACTTATTCTTCGTATTTTCAACTACCTCAGATGAACATTGCGACATCCTAATGGATAATGGCATTGCACTTTGGTAGCTTTTTATTTTTTTTTTTATGTTCAATTTGTTTTCTACTACTTATGATTGACTTTGCGACACCCAAATGGGTAATGGCTTAGCTCATAGGTATCTGCTTTTGTGTACATATTGTGTATATAGAGAAATTCACCACTTCGCGTTTTGAGAATAACAGCTACAGAGTACAAGATTAAAACCACTGTCTGTTGGTTGATCAAGTGTTCTCTTGCTGTTTCATTGTGTATACATTTAATTTACTATGCTTTACAAGTATTGTGTGTCTTCAAGTGTGAATTCTTCATTTTCACTTTATTATTTGACTGTGCTTACCTGCAAGTTACTGATTTCTTTTTTCCACCGGAGTGTGAACTTTCAAGAAACATTGGCCGAGGTCAGTTTACGGGAGGGTGACTCCTGTCGTAACTGCCGCCGACCTACGACGTTTCAAGCCACACCCACTGGGTAGAACTCATTGCAATTCAGCCTGGCAAGTGCCATTTGATTTAATT